ACCAATTCCGTGCAATGATTTTGCTCGGAAAGCGAGGATTTATAGTGAAAATACGTGCACGAAAGGGTGGACTTCGATGGAGGGATTCTTGTATAGGGAAAGGGATAAATTGAGAAGGACGCTTAGAGAAAGAAAGGGGGAGAAAGAGAGAGAGAGAGAGAGAGAGAGAGAGAGAGAGAGAGAGAGAGAGAGAGAATATCGATCCTAGCGATCGCGTTTCATGGAAACTTGCGAAACGTTCCGTTCCACCGCGAACATCTACGTGCCGGATTGGTTTGTAATTCTATTACGTCGTCGGCGAGCCGTGGTAAGAGCAGTCGAGATGTGTATACACGTGGACGGGTTTACAAGAAAATGCATCGGTGCTCGTCCGGGTGTGAGTCTATCGGGTTTTAGTTTTCGATTCAATCGAACATTCCCCGAGACTCAATATTAATAACTGGAAATGTGCGATTTTCCTATCTTCTCCCTTTATCTCTATTTCTCTCAGCTTGCTCGAATACGAATAGAGAGAGAGAGAGAGAGAGAGAGAGAGAGAGAGAGAGAGAGAGAGAGAGAGACAGAGAGAGACCATCGTGAACACGCCCTAGCAAATCTTCTAGCGTGATCGTTTAAGGGCTCGATATAGATGACAAAGAATCGCGTTTGAAGGCTGAGAGTCTTTGAAGAGAGACGGAGAGCGGCACGACGGGAAGGAAGATTTTCTTTCTGAAGTATCTAAACGAGGAGCGCGCACGAAGAGTTAGAGGGGTGCGCCGAGTTTTGGAGACAAACGGCCGTAAGTTGTTGGCGCTGGCTGTCGAGGGATGTGGCGGCAGAAGTACCAGCGGCACTATCACTATCATTGGCCGTTCACCAATACACAGGCAACGGCACGTTGGAAGAAGGCAAACGTAAGGGAGACGAAGTTGCGCAGTGGTGTAAGAGAGGAGAGCTGGAGGGAAGAGAGGACAAGTAATTTCCTTGGAGGAGGCGTGAGGAGCATGCCGAAGGGGGTGGGCGCCGTGCAAGGAGGTGGAGGTGGTCCAAACTAAACTAAATAATATTGATGGCCAACGGAAATTGAAAGCCGTTAAGGTCTTCGGCGGTGTGAACTGCGAAAACGGCGGTGCTGCATAAATAAGACGACGTCGGTATTAGGATTAGGTCAATGCCTCTCGATTGTGAATTCATGAATATGATTTTACGCGAGAGAACTTTTTTTTCCAAGTGTCCTGGACATATTCGCCTAACTCACGAAAGGAAACGAAGAAGAAGAAGAAGAAGAAGAAGAAGAAAAAGAAGGAGAAAAAGTTATCGATACGAAATTTGTTGCAAAGACGAGACTCAATCATTTTCACTTTTAAAGAATATTTATGTAGCGCCATCCGTTTGAGTTTCTCGCGGCTTCGTTTCTTTCTTATTTTTAATCGATTCGGTGGATGGTCATATTTTCCTTTTCTTTTCGTAGCTAAAGATAGAATGTATTAAAAGGGAGCTGACTAAAGTTAAGGGTCAGGTGTGTGCCTGTCTCTAAGTACTCGCAGGTTGGAAGTTAAGCCCATACGGCTTTTCCAAGCGGTTTCGTAGAAACACCAAAAGTTTTGCGGAACAAGTCTCGAATCGTCGGTTCATGCAAATTCGACGTGGATGTATAGCACAAATGCTGAAAAATGGCCGGCTTAAAATATGCGAGAGTGTACCGGCGGCGATAGGTAAAGTTCTCGGCGCAATGCGCGTAATAAGCCTTTCCGATGTTTCAACCGTACCAGAACTCTTCTTTCTCTCTTTCTCCAGGGGAGAATCTTCAAAAGCGGAGCTTTTTCGACCAAGTTCTTTAATGCACCCATGTGCATATTTTGTTGGGTATATATGTCTGAATTAAAAAAACTGATTTATTTGAATTTTTTCGAGAAATCCCTTAATGCCTGAACCCTGAAACGCCTAATCGGATACCAATAATAAACATTTCCAATAATAGAGAATTCTTTGGCGCTAATTAACGTTTCCTTCCGATTCTCAAAAGTTTAGACCAAGGAGGAAACTCGGCCATAGATTTACGAATTTTTTCCATCGATATTACCTTGTCTCGATATTCGTATCGACGTTCGTAGCAAGCACACCTTCCTCTTCCTGGTTCCTATCGCTAGTACACCTAGTTCGTTGATGGAAATACGTCGATTAATCTTCCAACCTCAAGAAGATTCTATCGATGCGCGTAAAACAACTCTCGAGACGTAAAGCGTAAAGAGAAAGATATCCTTGATATATTCGGTATATCGAGGTAAGAAGAGCAACGGCTTTAATTTCGAGCGGTCGTTATAGGAACGGTAGATATCTATCGGAGGCTACGTCACGAAGCATCGCGGGTCGATGAGGAGTGAGAGAGAATTTTCAAGATCCCCACGATCATTCATTCGAGATATCGTTTCGGTGTGCGCCGATGAAAAGAGAGAAATCTCGCCTTGGCTTCGTTATCCTGACAATGGCCGATGCCGGAATCCAAAGAGCACTTCCTCGTTCCAACCTTTCTAACGCCTTAGACTCCATCCCTTACCCTTATCCTCACTCTTTGCCTTTCGAGTCTCTCTCTCTCTCTCTCCCTCTCTCTCTCTCCATCTCTTTTTCTTTCTTCAGGTTCTGACTATCCGAAATCATATACGCTCGTTCACCGATGCGGCGTTCTCCATTAACGCGCAACCTGCAATCCTCCCTCGTCCCGACCACCAACGACCGGCCGATGCACGCATAATAGCGGCAAAGCCGTGCCATAAAGCGGTACCCAGTCATAAAGGCCTCTTCAATCTGAGAACGCGAAGGAAAAGCAGAATCGGAATGAGAATACTCCCACTCCGTATTCCCTGCTCTCTCTTTCCTTTTTTGTCGTTTTTCTCCGTTGCAAACGTACCACGAGATAGATATATAGATGGATGGAGAGAAAGAGAGAGAGATGAGAGGATGAGACTCCGAGGAGTTCGCGGAGGTTATGCGAAGAAAAAGCGCGGTGGAGGAGAAGTGAGTTTTGCAGATAAAAAAAAAAAAGTAAAAAAAACACAAGGGAATTCTTGATCTCTTAGCGGGTTGACGCTTTTAATTCACGAGACGCGCGTCTCTTTTAATCGCGCCCCTTCCTCCACATCTTCCTTATCGCGACTCTTTTATTTATCTTTCTTCAAACTCTTTCTCCTCTCTATCTATTTCTTTCTTTTCTTTTTTCTTTCCCCCATTCCTTTTTTCTATCCTTCATTCTCGGCACCTTCGAGCCCTCTCAGTTCAGCCCTTTTCCAGGTACCCCTTTCGCTTGCTCTTTGTGCTACGAAGGTATTAGAATCCCCGATGTCGAGAGAATCGAGACGATAAAATCGTTCGATTAAATATAAATCACCGTCGATTCGGTACGTTCAAAGGAATTCGTGGATTCGTCGTCTTTCTCATCCGACGATAAATTATACGAATCGTAGAACCACTTTGGGCTTATACATTATGTAAGAAGGGCATGATATTTGAGGACGGTGAGACTTCGAAAATGATGAGATAACATCTGGCTCGGCTTTCTGTTAATCGAATAAACCACTCGAGTGATATCTAACGTCAGTTAACTTATGGCTTATCAATTTTAATCGTGAACTTTAACATTTTCCATGTTTACTCGGAGGATGGATAAATTTTTCATTCGGTCGTTCCTATATTCTGTATATCCGGAGCGTGAAAGTATGATCTGAAGAAGAATGTGGAAGGAAGGAAGGAAGGAAGGAAGAAAGAAGAGAATCGGTAGTCGATGACCAAGGCAATGCGGAGGAAACAAAGGCAACGAAGAAGAAGAGAATTTGTCCCTGGATTTTCCCTAGACGAAGCCAAGGACCGAGTTACGAGAGTCTTATATTTCAATTTGTCGAGTCCGGCATAAAATCGCGTTTTACGAGTCGTCGTCGTCGTTCGTGTTTCCGACCCTCGGCGTCGATCTTCCTCGAATCTTTCGTCGTATCGCGCGGAAAATTCCTGTGGCGGTTAATCGCAGTGATTTTCTCGAGATCGACCGATAAGATCGAACGCATCAAAACGAAGATTCAAGATAATACGGTGTAACGTAGACGACCGAGCGAAAAATTTTCGGTTTTCTCTTCGATAGATACGAAGAGAAATTTAGATAGAAGCAGGTAAGTGAGCACTTACCTATTGTCGATCGCGAAAAATCGATGAACGGATCGATCGAAAATATTTATTCTTTATTATTTGTTTTTTCACCTATTCGACTATCTCAAGAGACAAAAGTAATGGACAATTTCAATGCGAAATGAAAAATTTACGCAAGAACAGAGAAATTTTAAAGATACCTAAAGGAATCTGTATTTTTTTTTAAAAAGGTCAAAAGAAGATGGCCATTTTCGAGGAAGTTTCTAAGAAATAATTCATCGGTAACGTGATATAATTTTTTAATTACACGATGCCTTAGGATACGAATTTTTTAACTTATTTAACAAACTTTCTTCGAATTTTCGATTAAAATAAACTATTCAAGAGAGTATGTACTTTTTTCTTCAAGTATTGAAAATAGATTCGAATAATTGATCGAAGACTCGGTCGAACGTTGTTCTGTTAATTCTTCAGAAAACTATCATTCCTGCCGTAGATATCGCGTCGAATTATTGTCGCATCGCGAAAAACTTGTGTTTGCGATAAGAAAGGATACCCAAGATAAAGAATATGAAGAGGAGAGAAGGAAGAGAAAGGATGAGAGGCAGGTGGTAGAAGAACGCCAGAGTCGGAATGAAGGAAGGGGGAAAGAAAGAGGATGGTGGTAGGGGTAGTCTAGCGCGAGAGAGAGAGAGAGAGAGAGAGAGAGACTCGAAAAGTAGGAGACGGACGTAAAGTATCCTGGAGGGGGACGGGAAAAACGATAGGGAGAGGGAGAGAGAAGATAGGCGTCGGTGCATGCGCAAGAATTTCACACGTGAGCCCGCGAATCTGCGAGAGGCTCGCCTTGAGCGCGAGACTTCCTGCTGTTCAGTGTCGTGCGCGATTTCGTACGCGACGCTTCGTTGTTATTGTCGTCGTCCTTGTCGTCGTCCTCGCTGACTCCTTCCCTACGGCTTCGATCCAGATACGACGATTGAAACTATTCGTCTTCCTGTTGGACACGTTTGTTTTCTTAATACGAAAACGAAATATGTCGAAGAAATTAGCGTTTATAGGCGGATCGTTGTTTGAAACTATTAAAATTGTAAAAAAGTCTTTGATATCACCGGGCGTTTTTTGAAAGGTCACGTCTGTTCGGTCTGCTTCGTAATGCGAAGCTCCTCGAAAGAGAAAATCTTCCGAATAAGAACGAAAGATCGAGAGAGAATGGACCAATGGAACTTGCAAGGAAAAAAAGAACCTGATTCTCCGTACAATTAAATCCCTCAAAAGTGTTCGTTCACCGTAATCGAAGAGGTCTCATTTCGATTCTCTTTCGATGAATTAATTCGGAAAACGTCAAAGGAAAGGGAGTCATTTGCGAGAAGTATTACATATTCGACATACCGATTTTAAAACGATAAAAGTGTTGAGAAAATTGTATGAAAAGGATCATCGTACCTTGTTCGATTTTATCGAAAATGCGTTATCATCGTGTTACCGTCGAAGCGATCGAATCGATGACCGAATAACCGATAAGTGGCACTTCGCTGTAACGCCCGTGACGATCTAGTGCGTGAAATCTCAACGCGTAATGACTCGTGATTGAAGGAAGGCCGTGAGTTCCGTTGGAACACGCTCAAGGGACACCTAGAGAGCGGGCATTCGCTGTATAATTGGACCTACCATAATGACAAGGTGCACGCGAGCCGGCGAATCGACTGCGTGACCGTGAGTGAGCAAAAGCAAACTGGAGAGAGAGAGAGAGAGAGAGAGAGAGAGAGAGAGAGAATCGGAGCACATTCAATGATTTTCTCGGCGTAAAACAAAGAAAAGTGTCCTCGTAACGGCGACAACTCTTCGCCCTAAAGCGCAAGGACGCGGCAGGATTTAATTAAGGAGTAAGTGCTAGCATGGTCGCCATGGCTATTGTCATTCTACTCTTTCTTCCATTTTTCCTGTCTTAATCGCGATGCGTTTCGTGTCGGGTCGTAGTTGGACATTCATCTCCTTAATGATCGTTGACGATCCTTAAATCCCATTGAAAAACGTACTCCACCACATTTTCTCCTATTATCTGAGATTTTATATCTAGGAAAAGCAGCTACCGTTCTTCACTCGAGATAACGAACTCGATTATCTAGCTTCATTGAATCCTTTCATTTAGCTTTGCAACATTTTCCGTTATCTCCTAATTTGCGTTCAATTATTTTCTCAATGTATCTATAATTTTTATTCTTTTTTTATTTTTCTTTTCTTTTATCTTTTGTATTGACCTTCGAGTATCCTCAATGTTTATCTTCCAATATATGTCCGTAGACGCGAGTAATATGTGTGGAAGTGACGATTCACTGAGGTTATTATCGTACTATCGCGAGTTCAGACAAGATCTCCAAAGTAGATTCTGCATACAGAAAGAGAGAAGAATAAGAGAAGAAGTAAAAGAATAGAGAGAGAGAGAGAGAGAGAGAGGGAGAGAGGGAGAGAGGGAGAGAGGTATAGAGACACGTAATGTAATTTGGAACACCGGTGTGCGTTATATAACTTTATGGAACGAATAAACTTTTAATAGCTTCGTGATACGCATGGCCCAATCGTAATTTTCAAAATATTCGTACGCCACTGGTCTTTAAATGTATAATATTTTTCCGTAAAATTGTTTGAAATTTCACCGTCATTTTATTTATTCTTCATCGAGATAACAGTCGAGTACGCCTCTTACAGAATTTTTACGAAGAATAATAAATTGATTATAGCGTAGTTCGATGTAATTACGAGATCGAAGAACAGGCGAAAAAAAAAAGAAAGAAAGAGCGCGTATTCAATGCCTCTTTCGATGCGCAATCTGAAGCTGACGGAGCTCGTTATTTTCGATGAATCCCGTCCAATCTCGTTTGCCTACTTATCACGCCAAAAAGCTCAAGAAGAAACGAAGTAGCTCGTTTCATCGACTAGCGAGCGTTTCGGTTTTTTAATTAATTTTTTTTTTCTATCGATCAAACACGAAAGTTTCTCTTTGATGATGCACGCTGCAATACGGCTCTTTCATTAACGAAACGCGATGCTTTTCTAAAACGATTAATAAAATCGAAATAACGAAGGACAGCTTTTTTCATTCAATGAAAATATTCATAAGGTGTTAAAGAGCGAAGATATAATAGCAAGCGGTGTTTTTTTTATGTTTCTTTTTGTGACAGTAGTAAAATGGATACGTCACCGACTCTAAGTATTGGCGGATCGAGAGCCAGAGCAGCTCTTTTGACGACCACCGGCACAGGAAGTGGCGGTACCGACAGGAGGGTCGTTTTTCTGACGAGTCAAACGGTCGACGGTAATGGACACGAGACGAAAACTTGGCCGCATCATTGGTCACCCCACACGGTGAGTTGTTTTTTTTTTTTTTTTTATAAGTACCTTTGAGGACTTACAAAGGAAATGTTTGCAGCGAATCCTGACAGAAATAGAAAAATCGTTGAGGATGATTTTTTCCCCTAATAATTTCAATACCCATGCGATATTTGTTTTTCATGCTTTCTGATAATTATTAATTAATTAAAAATCAATATTATACGAACTGATTCGTAATGATTCGTAAGAAAGAAATTTTTCGACGTTACGAATCATTATGAAAGTGTTTTATTTCGTAGATATCGAGGACACGAGAATGGATCCTCCTTGAATTTGGTCAAAGTGCATTTCGTATGGATCAAAGTATCGGCCATTATCGAGTATTTCGTGAAACATGACGGTGATAGGGGATCCCTTTAGCTATTGTGATTCCCCCTTTGGCGATTAGATATCGTACTTGGCCGCAAATTCTCCGTAATTCTGAATTCTGAATTCTGCTCATCACCCGCACGTATTCATACAACGCGTGCACATTTGAACCATACTATATAGATCAAGTTCGCACGACTATATATTGTACCATTACATACGCTTCGAAATACATCTCGGTGGTACTCTTGGAGTTACTGGCGAAGAAAATAATAGTTGAATGAAATGGGTAGTTCTTGTAGCACTTACATCGAAATAGAAATGTGCGAGATAAAACGTTTTTATGATTATTCGAAAGGATTTTCGTGGGCGTTTAAAAATCAAGAGAAAGGAATAGCTCGATCTCGAACGTGCGTGCGTTTATGAGTCCGTTTCCTGATGGGCCAAAGCACACACACACACACACACACACACAGAGAGAGAGAGAGAGAGAGAGAGAGTAAGGCGCCATCAGAAACCTTCGTACTTAGGTAACTCGTGGTAGAATTTGCATAGTTATTTGCCGTGCCGGATGAAAGTCGTTACAGGCTAGCTTCGAGAATTTCAAAGCCAAAATTACCTTAGAACTGGATCCCGTCTTCCGAGAGCATTGTGTTACTGTCATGATTTAAAGGATGGGCCTATAAACTGGCTTTACGCCTCGTAAACGCGTCTTATAATTTACCGTATTCCAACGTGATTCATCATGCGGCGAAAAAATTCATATCGCCTACCATCCGCGATATCATATAAAGCACTCGAATAAGTTATCACGCTGAATGAGTTTTGCATTTACTAGAACTCACGTACAAATATCTAATTTCGCGTAAATGAATATCTCGCTTGTGATCTTTACGCTTTGCGCCAATGAGACGTACATGTTTCTGGAGGAATGACTGCATCCTTTTTATCCAACTCGAGAGGATATTCGTAAAAATGTCACATTCGCCGTTCTAATCGATCGTTTCGATATAAACTGAGAGAATGGAAAGCAAACGAGACTTTAGTTCCATTTAATCGGTCCTGCTTTTATCCTCGTATATCGACATAAGATGCTTTTCTATTTATAATTATCCGCCAATAAATGTATTAGCAACGAATTTGTATAAGAGAATGCGACGATAATAAGTTATAAATCCATCGGAAAGTTCGGTACTTTTGTCGAATGAAATCGATCAAAAACGACATATCGAAGAGTACGGACCACGGAGATACATTAAAAGCTCAGGACTTTGTCTTCTTTTTTTTCTCGTTTTAATCGTCGGTCGTTCCCGTCGAGTGCCGTGGAAAGCCACGGGGAAAAAAAAAATTTGTTGGCTCTCGTTTGCGAGCGCAAAGTTCACCGCACCGATTTCCTGCCACTGTAAATCAGGATCTTCCGATGACGTTTTTCCGTTCTCACGCAGTCTGTCCTTCTTTCTCCGACCGTCTCCACTTTTCTGCCCAATGGGCGCACATATTTTCTCTATTCTCTTCCTCTCTTCCTTCTCGCTATCCTGGACGCGAAACTTTTCCCGAAATCCCCCTCTACCTCTCTCCCTTCCCCGTCTCTCTGTGTCGTCGTTCGTAGCTCATATATATTCAGCCGCACGTTCGTCGCGCCCATGGTCGAGAGTAAGGGAGAGAGAGAGAGAGAGAGAGAGAAAGAGCTATATCATAGCGTATCAACTGTTTTGTCAGTTTCTCGTAGGTACGCTGAATGAATGGGACTTGTTCCGTTTCTTCGTCCTCTCCTTCGGCCTTTATTCCCTTCTCTTTTCCATTGGAATTATCATCACTTCCCTCGTGTCACGATAGCTCGTACTTATCTGATATTTTTCTTTTATTCTCTGAATATTAATATTACAAGGTGAACCGTATAAATCTTTTTCTTTTCTTTTTTCTCTTTTTTTTTCTTTTTACTTCGAGCCTCTAAATGATCGAGTTAAATAAGTTACTTTCTATGTTAAAATATCGAGGAGTGGGGGAATCTTTCAAAAGTTCTTTAAGAGTTGACTTTAGAAATAATACAGTGACTGATAACTCTCGGATACGTTTCGATTACTCGGAGGAAAAGAGAAGAGTAAGAGGAGGAAGGCGAACGTCGTACGTGTTTTAGTTCTATCCACGTAGAAACGGTAAGGCGACGATCCGGCTCGATCGTGGAACTCCGATTTCAAGCGTGATGTATGGCCTCCTATTTATTTGGATCCCGGATCGAACGGAAAGCCTTCCTGTCTTTCGTACAACACATTGGTTAAAGGGGGTGAAGAGGGAGCTAAGAGTATACGAAGTTGGGACTTGACAAGGAGATCGGAGACAAGGGTACTGAATTAGTGCCACTCGACTAGAATAGCGAGATTGATGATTGTACGTACCTTCTGTTTCTCTCTTTTCCTCTTTCAGTTTCTACATATGTACTGAAATCTACGCATACGAATAGATACAGCTGATTAAGATCGGAGGAGGAACCCTTTCTGAAACTAGATTTAAACTATGATATATCGTAGAGAGAGAGAGAGAGAGAGAGAGAGAGAGAGAGAGAGAGAGAGAGAGAGATTTGATTAATCGTGACGAATACATGGGATACATGGATATATCTAATTTAAATGAAAATACCAGGGTGCAAATGGCAGGGTCAAAGGTAGTGTAATTCAAAAGGATCGAATCGTTACGATTTATTTGCGGTATTCGAGAGGTAGGTTATATCGAATCCTACTTAAATTCCAAAATATAGGAGATTCGTACGGCGATCGATTCCGCTTCGGTCGTCGAGTCGAGTTGGCTCGTTCGTTTTTGGTGACGCGCAGCCAGCAAGTATTTCGAGCATTTTGTCGTGATGTAAATAGGAACGGTTGGTCTTGTTGCGCAACAAACAACGCGACCTGCATCGAGCACGAAATCGTGTACTATCATAAATCAAGTACACGGTACGTTAAATCTAGCACGTAAAGGAGAGGATTAATTGAAGCGAGCATATCAATGAAGTTGCGTGCAAGTTCGGCCTTGTATTCCAAATCGAACTCAACTATCAAGCTTTTCGTGACGAGCAATGCCGGATTCTCGAGTAATAAGCTGTCCGTGGTAAATGCAAAGGCCAAGACGCTGTTATCGTTTCCCTCTCGAACGAGTTCCGCGTTCCGATGGAACATGAGGAACGCGGCGCGTCGATAAAGTCCGCTATTCGTCTGGAATTAACGCTCCGATAAATTGAACGAACCGAATTCTTCTCTTCGTTTCTCTTCTAGTTCTCCTCGCGATTCCAAGATGTAAAGACTTCGCGAGAATCTATTTCCCCCGGACGAATCGAGTCGGCCCTCCCAGGAAATCGACTTTTCGTGTTTCATTCGCGCTGCCTTACGAGGTATCGCCCTTCTCGAAACGGTAGGTCGGATCACGTTTTTTTTTTTCTCCCATCGAGCTGAAGCACGCATTTCATTTCCACGATAGATAAGCCGATGATTCCTCTCCTCTTATCTTTCGAAAACGATAGACAGGAATTCTATCTTTTTTTAACTTTTTTGTTTTAATCCTTCCCCCGAGTTGACTATAACAGGAAGTTATGTGTTCTTCTTTGAAGGTTCAAGAGGTACAAAAAGTTGAGTTTTACGATAATTAAGAATACTCCAAAGCAAATGCTCGTATTCGACTATGGTTTGGAAACGATCTGGATTTAATTAGTTTCATGTTAATCGCGAAACTAATTGAAAATGGGAATTGATCCTTTGAAGTTTTCCTGATGGACTCTTCGTAATAATTGTGTTATCACTTTTTCTTTCTTTTGCCCTCTTATCGAGCTCTTCTCTTCGTTCTTTTTTAAGTACTCATAAGATACCTTTCAATTCTATTCCTTCTGGTTCCATGTGTATTTAAAGAATACGCGATGTCCCGTATTCGTGGTAAAGATTGAATATTTCCTATTCGATATATCACCTCGATATTCGTAGACGATGAGTTTCATCGAGTTGCGCATGAGTTGCTCCTGCGTATGGTAATTCGATTTCCCGGCAAAACCTCTGATAAAATTATTATACATTTTATCTTATACATAAGATATGAAAGAGAGAATCTTCGTTTGAAGATTCAAACGAATTTTCGTATGCATTGTCGTCGTATAATGCATAACGTGACCGTGTGTAAATTGAATCGAGCCAACAAACGTGATTCTTTAAAAAAAAAAAAAAACGGTCATGCTCGATCGAGTAGAATCTTGTCACGAAGCCTTTTATTCGATCGTCGACCTCGTAGTACGGCACGCGAAACTTTTTAGGCATCGCCGTAGAAAATTCCTTATGCAAAATAAGAAAAAATGATTATCCTCTGAACTAACCGAGATATTTTTTCCTGGGAATAAGTTACTGTCTTTTGTATGTGCTTTAAAAAAATAGTAATAATACGTTTTTTAATCGACGTTCTTTTGTACGTAATTAAGTATGTCGCGTGTAAGAACATAAACGTATTGAGCAATTCGAGAGTTGGCTTCATCGAATCAAGGATAAAAGCGTGACACACGTGTGTTTTCGACAAAATCCTTAGAAAAATTCATGTATTTTCATTAGAAAAATTCAATTAGGGACATCGAAAAATAAATATTATTTCACGATGTATCCAAGTAGAGACATCGTTGGCATATATACATTTTCAAA